GCCAATCTTCGGCTCGTTGATGACGGCCACCATTTTAGGCCGGGCCCCAATGGCCCTATCGCTCAACGACTGCCCCTCAATTTCCGCATCCTGTGCCCGGCCGGCTAACCCCTTCGCCCTTCGCTCTCACGTCAAAAGATAAAGGATACCTGTCCGGCCCGGAAAAACTGAGCTCAGGATATAATCAAGAGATCAAGAGCTCATCACCACGAATGAGAAGCTCAGCAGAGAGAAATGAAGAGATTGGCTTCGATAAGGGTAGGAAGACATACGACGAACATACGATCTCTTTATACAACTTGATCCGGCTCTGAGATAAAGACATTGAACCATGTCTCATATTTTTATGGCAACAGAACTGTTTCTACCCAGTTTCCAGCTCACATTTGTGAACGTAAATTGCTCACAAATAATGATAACATTTTGGTGTTCAGTTTTGTCAGGGGCTGTCTCCTTTCGGGGTTCCACCATGGGGACGTCAAAGAAAATGTTCAATGATTGAACCTCTCTTTTCCAATGTCAAGTGGACCTCCGATGTAATTTTTGGCACTTCCAATCACTAGTAGGCCTCCCTCTTCTTTCTAGGTGCCTTCCATAATTTATGGAAGGCCCCTTACGCAGCCCATTTCCACCAGAGATTTAAAAAAAAAAAAAAAAAAAAAAAAATTCTAAATAACTGGCTAAACATGGGAGTCTGACTCGAGTCAACTTTTAGTAGGCAACTATTCGAGCATTATGGTGGTGCCGGTTGCATAACGCAGAATTGAAGGCGTTTCCGAATCCTCTGTTTTCGTGGTTACTAAACAAACTTGTCGTTTCAGTTATCCTCGGCGCCCCTTCTGCACCCAACGAAACATGTGTATTTTTTACTCTCGTTCACTCTCAGGTTATATTCATCATAGTTATTTTATAGAATCCCGTTTATTTATCGTTTCAAATAAGTAATTTCAATTATGTTTCGTTAATGAACTTCAATGTGTAGTCTTTTCAGCACAGAACGTCCAGTTTGCATCAGGTTTTTTTCGACCCCTCCAAGTCTCTCTTTTGGGTCTCCTCTGCCCCTTTTATTTCCTTTAGATAGGTTTATGAGGCAGTCCAGACCCTAGGTTCCTAGTCTCTGACTATTTCACACTGTTTTTATTGGCGCCTTTACGTCCACAGTGCAGAAGGCAGTATGCATAAAAAATCGTACTAATATTTCGATTGTGGGTAAAGATTCGCACCTTTTATTTTATCCACTTGAGGTCCCCTGAGTCACTAAACTAGTATAACAAATTTTCCGAGAAATATGTGGAAACTGGATACAGAGCCGTTCTCCAATGAAGCGGACCCGCTAATGGCTCCGCGACATCGCACCGGCACTTGCTACTCACCACCGCGCTCACCACTTAGTCGCTCATAAATTACCGTTCATGATATAATTTAATCGAGGTGAAGAAAAATCTACCGGCTAGCTGGGTACTTGAGCAGTAATTACTGATTCTTTGCCTGCCGACCGGCATCGATTAGCAACTCAGTTGCCAGTTCAACGAGCGTCAAGAATAAAAACCTAGCATTTTAAACTATAATATAATCCAAAGTTCATAAAATGAGCTACTTATCGGCCCTTCCAACTTTCGTCGTTTCTCTCACGAGGAACGTAACTGCATTTCAAAGTTGCAAAAGCCTGCACAAATTGCATCTTTACCAAAAGAATTTTGGGACTTTCCAACTGAAAATTTTTCTTCTGATCTTATGCAAAAATTAGATAATTTTACAACGAAAGTTGCGTGGGTACATTCGTATAAAAAATCGATTTTTCTAAAGTCAATTTCGCAAACTTGGAATGGAGTTTCGTTACTTCGTCGGGAAAACATTGCAATAGTACCATCATTTTATCGTTGAATGATGTTGTGCGTAAAAGTAACGAAATGACAATGATAAAATCAAGAAATAAATCTTCCTCAAAAAATGTGTGTTCGGTGCAACTGATGAGGTCGAGCCGATGTATTTTGAGATGTTGGTAGGCCGACTTCTATCAAAGGTGATCCAAGATTTTACTGCTGCCTCATCTTAGACGTACTACAAAACTCTTGAAACGAGTGTTAGACAAAATTCATCGCAAAAATGTCAATTGATCCCTAGCTCAAGACTAAGAGAAAAGCGCAGTTTTCCGTTTAAAAAACAGTGCACGTTGGATAAATGTATCTTCAGGCTCATGTGGTATTCGGGGACTTTTTTTTAATATTTAGAGAAAAATACTCAAGGCTTTTGCCAAAAAACTCACTGTGCCTATTTCCATGAAAACAAACTGTTTTCCTTTATTGTGGTTTCTCCACTTCGCCTAGGAAAATGTAGTTTTTTAAAGGTATGCAATCGTGGGTGGTTCCGCAGTCCCTGCGCCCCTCTTTGTGTTTGGATACAAACCCGTGTTTTATTCGAATGGTTCAGGGTTTTTTTCCATCTCTTGAAAAAATAATTTATTCTCCAAGTTCAAGCTGAAATAACACTCGTGTCACTCCGAGCTTCATTTCCTAATGCACTTCAACGAGCGACCATCATTCAAAAAGTCACCTATCTGAGATGTTCCTTGTTGAAGGTAAAAATCATACTCGAATTCGGGGATGAGCAAAATAGAGGGAGAAATGCTCCATTACTCACCTCACATTTCTTGGTGGATCAATGGCCTCCGACGAGGAATTTCTGAAAAACTGGAAGTCGCGCTGAAACGAAAGAAATAACACAGAAAAGGAGGTGGTTATAAGTATCCTGTTTGCGCGGAGGGACTTCCTCCCATCCTCGGGCGGTTACAGACGCTTAGGAACACTTTAAAGACGCTTCTTTGTTTCATTAGCTGTTGACAGGCTCGACTATATGTCAGCATAATGACGTGTGAAGACCGGGCCCAAGCTAGCTGCTTCCGTAACATCCAAGTGAGACTGGATCTCCCTTCCCTCGTTTCGCAGCTAGCTGACTCCCGGAGGAGGAGACTGTTATCGTTAAGTTTGAAATAAGGGGTGATAATTCTCGTGGATTCATATTGTTAGAGCCATCACTTATTCCACGTCAACTGTTTTGGCCGCCCGTTCAAGCTTTTCAGCGTCTCATGAAGCGTCCGCCAGCCGAAAGTAAAGTATTAACGTCAAGTTCAAATCATTGTTGAAGAAACATTATGCCGAATAAAATAGGGATTTGTGGATCATAATCGCTCCACACTTTTTTAGAGAAGAAAATATTAAGATCACTCCAAAAGCCAAGTCAGAACTGGGATTAAAAAATGGAGCGCTCGTGTTAAATACAATCCACGGCAATCATGACAGCGCTTGTAAGCCAACTTTCGATATTGACTCTGTAAGAAGTTGCTTTACATAGATTTTGGGATAACGCTATAGTGTTCATATTATAACGCGTCCTATTTTTCTCAATTTCATGCAAAATGTGATACTTTTAGTCACTCTTTTTTTCATCGCTTTAAAATCTCTCCGTCATGAGCGACGATGTCTGCAACAAAACAATTTCTTATTAAACGCGCTTCAAAGGCCGATTTAGGGAGATTGAGACTATTTTAAAATACGCAGAAAAAAGAAAATGAGTGGTTACTAGAGTTCTGACTATCTTATGATCCCCAGGATCTCTTGTAGCCATCAGTAGTAGATTTCTGGCTGTGCCTAAATCGTGGCTGGTAATGTGCTGGTTACACGCTCAAATTTCCATCAATTTCCGATCAAATGGTGACTGGTGCGCACCATCTACCATCAAATTTATGCGGCCTGCAAAAATTTGATGGTAGATGATGGAGCTGTGGGGTCATCCTTCATCTGATTTCCACACAACCGTGCTTATTTCATGCTTATTTCAATCAACACGCTGTTTTAATTAATTTTACTCATCAATCTAGATAACTCTCGACCGCCATCTTGGTCATCATTTTGATCGGAATTTGACGGAAATTTGAGCGTGTAACCAAGCCGTAAAAGAGACAAGATGGATGGCCAGAACTGACAGACATCTATTACCGGCTACCAGATTTCATGGGTATCAATCTAAAATCTGATAACCACACTTACATTCTTTTTTACCAGAAAATTTTCGAAAGCCAACACATCATCGGTACCGGCCGAAATTTTTGTTCGAAGTGTCAAAGTCGCAAAATGAGAACCTCACCACCATGCACAATTAGGAACTCTTTGTCGGCCCAGACCAACCGTGTCGACAAGGACCCGTCGGTGGCCGTCAGGAGCCACGAATCGGGCAATCACGTCGGGAGCCGTTGAAAAAAACCGAACGTCGGCATACCCGCGAGCCGATTGAAGATTACGAACCCCGTCAGGAAAAAAATAACAAAAACAAAAAAAAAACCAAGTAAGTAAATAGAGGAAACGCGGCCTGCGGCGGGGGAGGNGGAGGGGGGGGGGGGGGGGTTAAGAACACCATAACGCGTTAATGATAGGTCAACGGGACGGGGATAAGGGGCCCGCGGACGGATCAAAATATCAACACGATCTGGGATCGGTAGAGCCGGCTGTCAATACCCCTTCCATCTCGGCGTCCCCCGATCACGCCAGCCACGAAAGTAACAACGGCTATTTATAATCTGAAACCTCGATAAAGACAATTAGAAAAAAGCGGGAGAGGAACTTTACGGAACTTATGTAATTTGTGAAGGAAAGCTCGGCTCGTACAAATGATATAGTTGAGGTTCTGTTTCCGTCCGACTGCCCCCCCTCCCCCTCCAGGAGAAGCGGGAAACAGTGTCTGTCTCTTATTACCCCTCGCGCGCGAGGGGGTAAAGAGAGAGACGGCGCGGCCCGCTGATTATCAATGGGGGCAGCTTATTGGTCGCGGCTCGGTGTTTTACTAAGTAGGTTGCTGGTCGGAGGCGAGGGGGCGCGAGGGCGGGGAGGGGGTCGGGGGGAGTCCCCGCCCATTCCGGGAGAACTCGTTCCGGGCGGGCCCCTCGCTCTGGCTCCACCTCGCGGCTGCCGCTCCTACGATTTATTATCACGAAAAGTGCCGTCGTGGTCGAGTGTGTGCCTCCACGCAGTCCCCCGCTCGTTTCGTTTGTTTCTTTTGCACCCAACCCGTCTGTTTCCATTGTGCGCCTGTGCGGTTCGCGACGGATAACCTCAACCAGTGAATGTGATTTTCGAGTGCGACTTGGTTGCATCCTCCCCGAACTCTCTCCGTTGTTTTGTTTCTACCCTTATCTGTGTGTGTTCAAGTGATCGGCGTTCCTTAGTCCAACCTTGAAAACTAACCGCGTGGTGTTCGAAACGCGAGGTCATAATCTCGTTTTGTTCCAAACTACTGTGATCTGTAAACAGGAAATTCCGCGAAACTCCGTTTTTACCTTAAAAATCAAACGGGGCCAACACGTGAAACATTGTTCGAATTTGTGTGACTTTATTTATAGTGGATTTCGTCTCAATTTGTTTTTTTGTGTCTCGGCAAAACGGGTAGTGCGCATAATAACCACGTTTTCGAAACTCTTAATCGAGATTGATTACATTCCATCTGAGCGTGTGACTTTACAACGTGTTTTGTAGCACACGGCTTTTTTCAGTTGTTGTGACGTGTGTGGAAATGTTTGAAGCCTGACGTGGACGTTTGAAGATGGGTCACCCGCGGCGTCGCCCAATCCACTCGGATTGAACTATGGTTGACCGTGAACCGAACGAAATAAGGCATCGTTCCCACTCCGACCCGGTAATTTCCCGTTCTGTCCGTCCCATAATGAAGTCCTCCGTGAGCATGTGCAACGTCCACGAAGAGTTCCACAAAGAAGACGACATCTCGAACGGCAGTGACGTCGACAAACGCTTCGAAGACGGCAGCGACTCCGACTCGAACAAAGAAGTCCACTCGGACGAGGAGGACGGCGAGATCAGCGTCGGCTGCCCCTCACCCGTCAACGACTTCTGCAATGACGTCTCGCGCGACGTGCGCAAGTTCAACTCGGACGAAGAAGATACGTCGAGGAGCTCCTCGGCTCTGACGTGCCGAAGACGGCTATCCCTGGAAGAGAGCGAGGACAACGTAGACTACAGCAACGAAGACTACTTCACGCCGCTGAAGAAGCTGAAGATGATGCAGATCGACAAGATGAAGTACGGGATCTCGGACAAGGCCAACATCCAGAAGATCCGGCCGAACAAGCTGGCCCACGCCTTCGTGGACATCCCCAACGAGCTGACCAGGCCGGACGACCTGGTGGAGGACCTGTCCTCGAAGACGGGCTCCAACGGGGTGAAGTCCTTCTCGATCCACGACATCCTCAACCACCACCCCAAGTCCCAAGCCAAAGACAAGAAGGCCGCGACCCAGCCGACGAGGATCGTCCGCCCGTGGGACACGGACGAGGGCTCTTCGGCGTCGTTCCAGCTGGCGCCCCCGCCGGCCCACTGCGGGGCCTTCAGCCTGGCGCCCCCCATGCTCCTGGACCCCAGGTATCATCGGCTGCACGTGCGCCCCAAGTCCGTCGACTTCTGCTCCACCTACGAGTCGTGTAGTAGCGGACGCTCCAGCGCCGGTGGCTCCGACTACTGCACGAGTCCGGATATCATCAACTCAACTAGTCCTAATTCAAGTTCCTCCGGGCAGCCCCGTCGGGCCCCCTCGCAACCCCGTAAGCAGTCCTCCGGCGAGGCTAAGTCCGAATGCTCGCCCCTCGAGCTACTCGTCGAGATGACTGCCAAGCCATTCGATAAGATGAAAGGAGAAACCGGACAAGGTTAGTTAATCACCTCAATATATCTAGTTCGCATTGGTCTCGATACACGATTAAATTCCCGAGCCAATAACCATCAACGTGTCGGGAATCGTCAGTCTTAAAATCATAACTTTAAAATGAAACTTAATTTTAAAATGAAAACTTGGCAGAAATGTTTCGTGTGGCAGGAAATGATGAATGGAGCCACTCCATTCTTATCAAAATTTGATGGGCCGTCCATTTTTGATCAAAAAGGACTGTTGCATGGTGACCATCAGTCATGATTTGGTCTACTTTGATCAGAATTGGTTCGGAATTTGATCGTGTATCCAGACCTTATAGACAATTTTTTTTGTGGATAATTATCATACTGCGCTTAGCGAATCGTTAGTGGTGACGGATCATCATTTGCAAATCTATCAGTGCAATATCTATTATCTAATGACACTTGTCAAGCCCAAAATTGGTGCGACATTGACCAACTTTGGAGGCAATATTTTCAGATCTGCTTCCCTATATTCCTCACCGAGAACTAAAATGTGGATGTCATCGATACTTAAGAAACTTTTCGCCTCTCGACGAAGGGAGGGTCGCGGTGCACTTTGCGGTCGTGTACAATTACTTAGGTTCAATTTCCTCTTTGAAAGCTGTAAAATTCGTGCTCAGTATTGATGAAATATCTTTGTTGCAGCGTTTGAACATTTCCGATATTGTTCTTCTTTTTGTTATTGCAAACAAACTAAAACACCAACATTATTAAGTGTATATTTTTAAACGTGTCAAGAAAAAATTCAGTTTTTCTTTGCAAAAAAAGCATTGACAGATATGTGCAACGTTGCAACAAGAGTTTCGCATTTATTGTCGTCAGCAATCATATGGGAAAAAAGTAGAAATCGGAATTGCTAGAGTTAAAGTTGCTGGAAACTTGAGTGCGACGTCTAAATTTGGAAAAAGCCAGAGTAAACTTTTTATGACAAAATATTTGAAAATGCAGAAGGACTCCTTACCTAACTGTTATTGGTATAAGTTAGAGCATTATCGTCTACCAAATGCCGTTTTCTCACCATAACTATATGTGACAATCTACGGGGGTTTTTTATATGTTGCAAAAAGGGCAAAATCCTCTCCTGGAAAAAAAGAAAGTAAAAGACAAGCATGTATCGGCACTAAAGGACCGGCGCGGACTTTTTCTCTCTTTTTTTCTAAAGCTAACTGCCATTAATGAATCAAAATTAATGTCCTTATAAATCAATCATGTTAAAAGTGATGGAACCCTTTTACTAAATTCCCCAATCATTTTAAATTAGAAACATAGTTACGATTTTTTTAGCTTCATAAATCAGAGAGTGAACATTGTATTAAGTTTCGAATTTTTTGTTCGCATAAAGAAATTGTTCGAGATTCCTCCTAAAATTGCACGATTGGATTAATTTCAGATCCATACAAATATTGTGTTTTTCCTTCCTTCTTTTCATTATTTTTTCTCAGAAAGGAAAATTTGCTTTTGGTTGCTACAGATTAAATTATGGTCCGGTGATAGAGTCTTTTACTCTGTAATTTTTCTTCTTCTTTTTTTTTTGTACCATTTACAAATACAGGTAATAGCAATTTCATTAGAACAACACTAGTAAGTAAAAAACGCGAAAGAAATAAATTCTCAATGAAAGAAGAGAGAAAAAGACGAGGGGGAAAAAATCAATCAATTAATTGTTGCAAATACAAAGGCCAGCGGGAGCAAACCTTAATACGTAAATCTTCTTTCAAAATTGAATTTGCTTTATTTTTCTTTACTTTGGGTTAGAGGAAACTTTTCTCGTTTTTTCTTTTACTTTTTTATGTTGAATATTCGGTTTTAATCAATACACTAAGGCATATTTTTTTCTTTTTTATCGTAATAAACAAACCACAAAACATAGATCTTATATACTAATTACAAATCAGCGTCTTCAAAACTTTCTCAAAGAAAAAATCTTACCAAAAAAATTCCTTAACACCGAAAAAAGTGTAGTGCGATGTAAAGTTTACGCACATTTTTTGTCTTTTTCATCAAAAAATCTCAAAACCGGTTTTAAGTTATTTCGGACCTGTAAAAATTTATTTTGTGAGAAGCTGCTACTTTCTTCAATATCCTCTCATGAAATGTACAAAACAAGAAGAGTTTTGTTTAAATTGTAGGAGTATTTTTCTTCTAATTTTAAAGCTTGAAAACAAAAACCGAAAACTTCTTGAAAATAATCTTGTTCCGGTCTTTCCCGCGTTTCAAATTAATTTCCTCTGCTTCTTCTTTTCTTTCACATATCGTCGTTTTCAAGACGAAAGAACATAACTACAATTCCTTTTTGCAAAATTTACCCTGAAAATTGCATTTTTACTTGAAAACTGCTGGCCATTTCCAACTGAAAACTTCAGTGAGGTGTCCTTTTTTAGGTCAAGGAGTCTTTCTTCAAAAATGATCGGAGAAAATATCAATTTGCTTCAAAGAACTGAGAATTCACGTTCCATTATATAAAGTATCAATTTCAAACAGTACTACTTTCAGCCGTATAGCCCGTAAAGTAAAGTTTATCATGCACAACATTGAAATCAATGAATTTGTTTTTGGAACTGCCTTTCTGCCGTTGACTTCTAAACGATATTGTAGTACGTGGAATAATTCGTAATATTTTACCTCTCAATACTCAGTTCTTGAAGTTCCGTTTTTTGATGAGTCCAGCTTCGATTTCTCTAATTAAATCATTGCATAGCACACTTGAAAAATCCAGCGCAAATCGTCTCGTGGTCATACAAAATACACTGACACTTACGATATTAAAAATCATCAGATCATAATGTAATGGTTGCTAAAATAATATGTATAATAATTGATAATTTTAGAAATAGATGAAAAAGTACATCCTCGGAGCACCTTAATAGGAGAAATTATTTGGAGGATGAATACAAGAGATTTTAGGATTTAAGAATCCCTGTGTTTTAATGGAACTCAACTGATCAGGATTATTTTTCCAAAAAAGTACCAAAAACTCATTAATTTCATGCACTTAATCATTCCTTTTTTTAAGTACGGGGAGAGAAGTAATTATTTTAGATCGTTATTTCGCATTTTGAAAGATCTTTATTTAACTCCGATTTAAAAGCTTTGATACCGTTAACAATGAGCCAATTCAACGTATAAGATAGATAATAATATGAAGAAATTGTTAATTTAACAATGAGGTAATACTGTTAACGTTCAATAATGATTTTCTGATGAATAAACTCTTTTTTTGTCTTTTTTTTTAAAAAAAAAAAACTTTGGTATGAGTTACTTTGTGTTTCTAACGCCACATGATCCTTTTTTCTCCCCTCGAACTTTATTGGGGGAAAAAACATCAGCAACAATGCAATCGAAAATAGAAATGTTTATTTGATATATAATCGTTTTTCCGTCAAAATATTCTATTGCCCGGAGACTGACTAATTACTCACAAGGACAGAGACGTAAAGTTGTACATTGTTCAGATATAAGATCTTCAGCTATAATTCAAAAATTAAAACTAAATGAAAATCTCTCGAGCGTAACATACTGACACACAGCTAAAAACGTCCTCTCAAAGTTGCAAGCTTATCTTATTTATATTTTTACCAATTGCGGTTTAATTTCGACTAACAACCTGACCCTTCCTCACTCCATCTTCTCACGTTTTCTTCTCACAACTTTGGCCGACATCCAAAGCATCACCTTCTAATTAAATACAGCATTATTAACGCAAAAACAAAGTGAGATCTAGTTAATTTTCTTTTTTTATACAGTCTCTAACTCACAACAGAATGAAATTGGACTAAATATAAAGTCTTCACAGCTGTCGTCCGAAGCGATTTATTTCGTTACAAATTTTCTCAGGGGTCTCTCTCCCAACTTAAAATGAGTCTCTTTTTGGACCATAGTTCCATTGTACTTAACCTGCTTAACCTGCACGCAGACTATAGTCGTATCAAAACGAGTCTATGCTTTCGTGGTTTGTAACTCTTTCCTCATAGAGAAGTAACTATAAAGCAATTTTTTCTATCTAGAGAGCCTTCTTCACGTCCTTTCAAACTCTAAAAATGTATTCTAATTTTTTACGCAATATTCTTAGTTAACAGACGCATTGAATTGTTTGCCTAAAAAAATTTTTTTCCATTACCGTTCTCTATTTATTCAATTTTGCCGATTTCGTAATCAAAGTAATACGCAAGTATATTCATCTCTATAGGTCGGGTTGTTTTTTGTAGTAAATTTTTAACAATCCCAAAACGCTTTGCCTCATGATACTTTCTTATAGGTCCAGTAACAAGAGATAATGGTGGAAATAATTAAAATATAGTTAATAGGATACAAAAAATGGTCATAAACGCAAAATAAATAACCCAACTTTACATTCCAAAAGTTTCGGTGATAATCATCCCTTTTTGAGAAAAATAAAAATAAATTAAAAACTTAACACAACGCATGTTACTGATTCGCTCTCCTTCCCCTTAATTTTTTCTTCCGTTCAACCCTCTTAAGTCCCGACTCCCCCTTTTTTTAAAATTCATTTTTCTATATTATCTCTTCTGTGGTAAATCAAAAAGAAACAGTAGCAGAAATAGAGAAATTGTCATCATTGAAACTGAATAACTTTTTACCGTTGTCACTTAATTAAATACCTATGAATCTAAATGTAAACTCGGACAGTTTACAAATATTTACTTCTTATATAGTTATTTTTCACCTAAAGTTACTACATCTCACCCCTTCATTTGAAAATACATGACTTCAAAAGATTCTATTTCTTGACAAACCCAACATGCCTTCCGTCCGATCAAAAGTCAATATTTCGTAGTACAATCCCATTTTAGTTCTCTGCAATTAATTATTAAAAGTAAAATTTTGACGATTTCACTCTATCACCAAAATCACAATTTTATTTGCGGGGTCGTCAGGCTAAATCATGAAGACTTCATATGCATCATTTTTTTACAAATGCCACTATGATATGTTAGTTGGTTCAAGAAAGAACTGA